TCCTAACGATCATTATAAAATGGACACAGAGAACCAAATGAAAATTATATAATTATATATAAAAAAAAATCAAATTCAATCAATAGATTTCGAGTTATTTTAATGTTGTCTCAAGAATACATTTTCAATAGAGAAAAATTCCAAGTTTTTAAATTTTGCGAACGTTTTATTATTATATCGATAATCATATTAATTCTCCCATGTATGCAAATTTTATATATGTCTGATGCAAGATGAAAATATTATTTTAATACTTTTTCGGTCACATATAAGTAATGTTAACGTTATTTATTATTATTATTATTATTATTAATTCTTTGTCTACTTACCTATCGAGAACTACACTCTGTTGACCTTGATATAAGTTAAGTTACATAAGTTTACTAATATCAGTAGGTTTTATTATTGTTATTGTTATAGACAACCAAATAAAATTGTTGCTTTCAAAGTTAGACAATAACAACAACACTTCAAACAAAAATTTTGACAATAAATATACTTTATCGTAACTCGTTTTATTTTAAAAATTTTTTAAACAGGTTGGATGAATTTTGCTTTAAAAACGGGATTTTGAAAATGCTGAACAACTGCTGTTGAACAAACTAGAAATATCAAATTATAATTAAAAAAAATTGAAAAAGTAAAAAACATCTAATCTTATTATCAGAAACAACACCTCACTGACAAAGTCAAAACTTTTTTTGGACCAACATTATTTAAAATTTAGATTTGAAAATTTTGTGTGCCCCTGATATATATAACAAAGCCAAAAATAATTATGTTGGACACATAAAACCTAGGCAGAACAACATTCAATAAGGACACACTGAAATTTGATATAATCATATAAAAAATATAAATATACACTATACATTATATATATGTGTATATATATGATATATATATATATATATATATATATATATATATACTATATGTAACAGCAAAATTGTCCAAATCGTGTAACAGCATAATTGTCCATCCCACAAAATGTTTAATATCTAAAAAAACACTAAACTAATTAAGTTTCTTTTTTTCAGGTTTTCAAATAAGACTTTTAGCCATCTTGACACCATTCTGTCGTAAGAATCACTGAAAAACCCTTGAGTTATTCAGCTAGAAAGAGAACAGTTTAAAATCGCTTTGTGTCAGCCCCACTGTCTTTTAAAATGAGCAATGGTGAGATCAGTTCATGGCTTCAGTATTGGTACGAACATTCATACTCTGGCTTCCATCTTCAAAGTCCATTCAAGAACCATCAAGAGAACGGTGAATAAGTTTAAAAAAGAGGGAACAGTAGAGAGGAAAACTGGATCAGGAGGTCACAACAGGAAGAGGGATCATCATTTCAACTTAGATCCAGAGATCGTGTAGAAAAAGATCCAACTCAATCCATAAGACGTTTGGCACGTGAGAGAGGAGTTTCAGCTATGACAGTCCAAAGAGCAGTGAAAAAAGACTTGAAAATGAAATCGTACGTGAAACCTGCGAGGCAACTTGTTACTCCATGAGAGAAAATTAGAAGGTTAGAGAAAGCGAAGATCATCTTGAATAAGGTTGAAAATGAACCTGGAACAAAAAAATATATATTTGAACTTTATTTCAATATTTTGTGATCTTCTGAACCATAACTATGATTAATTAATGATGAACATATCATTTTCGTTTATGATCGATTTCATCACGATTCTTCTATTAAGCTGGGAGAGTAATTCTACATTCTTATTGCTCAGAGTCAAATAGTGTTATAAAAACCTCGCAGAATTCCAGTAAGATATATTTAATCATTTCTAAGATACAACAGTCCAAATCTTAATCCAACAATTTTGATTTTACACGATTTGTACAATTTTGCTGTTGCATCCGATATATATATATATATATATATATATATATATATATATATATATATATATATATATATATCATATATGTGTGGAATAAGTGAGAAGAATGTGTACTAGACATATTATTTTAATGTGTCTAATAATTGGGAAACTACACACTTTTTTTTTTGTGATTAAATTTTGTACCTACAAAAATATCTTTATATATATATATATATATATATATATATATATATATATATATATATATATATATATATATATAATTAAAAGGTTATAATTGTTCCAACGAGAGAAAAATGTATATTTTAAAAAAGAGAGAAAACATAAACGTTTTTAGGTATATTGTGGATTTGTTTGAATGTACAAATCCACATTATAACCAAAAAGGTTTCGCTCTTTTTAATATATATATATATATATATAGGGTGCTGTAGAAATATCACCCAGATACACCTCCCAGAAATACTTCTGACATAATAGTAAAACATTAGCTAGATGAAGGCACCATTGCCACTAATGACATACCATATATTTATTTGGGGGTACATGTGGGAGGTATTTCTGCCGCCCCTGTTGTTAATATTTAATCTAATTACTGAATGGTTGTGGTTTATGCAACTGTACTGAGCTGACTATAGTTACAGTTTCTGGGAAAGAGCGCATTATTTGGCGTGATCAACAGCCTGCACGCTCAAAACCTCGGTCAAGCCGAGCTCAAAGGCTTGGGTCAATCCGGGATATGGTTTTCAGGCACTTTCCAAATGTGCAGCATGCTGGGGATCGCCTACCCGATAACATCAAGAATTCACCGTCCTGACAAATCGACCATTTGATTTTGTTTTTATACATATATATATATATATATATATATATATATATATATATATATACTCCAGGACCGTTATCTCGACTCATGATAGACCCCCAAGGGTAAATTTACCGATAAAAATAACTTCTGAAAAGGTTAAATAAATCCCATTGTATAGGAAACTCTTCTCTTCAAAATGTCTACTGAAATAAAAATGATGTCATCAAATTGAAATTAATTCTATTCTTGGTTTGCATGCAATAGGTTATCGCGATATGCTAAGTATCATCGCAAACATTTCAAGATTAACAAATGCGAATGAAACCTGTGTGTCTTAGAGAGGACCATCCTTCTTCGAACCTCAAAGACTGGCATTATAGAATTGCAAAGAACTTTCAACGGCAGCAACAATTAAAATGGATAGCACATGTAACTCGAAGAGAGAATGATTAAGTAATGGCTGGCCGCTGGTATCCACAGATATAAAAATGTTGTTTATACAGCAACAATTTCTGAGAGAGAGAGAGCATTATTTGGCGTGGTCAATAGTCTGAATGAGGCTCCAGTACGCTGAAACCGTCGGTCACGACGACTTGCGACTACGTGTTAGCTCAACCACTGACGGCTCCCAAAAAGTTCCGTCTACTCAATTTCACACTCAAGACTTGGGTCATCTAGTGGTATGGTTTTTCCAGGCACTTTCCCAAGGTGCCGCACGATGGGATCGCCTCTCCCAGTCCGATAATATCAAGAAGTCACCTTCCTGACAAATCGACCATGGTGAAATTCGAACACGAGCCTCATGGTCGGAAAGCGAACAGTCTAACCACTCTGCCACGTACCCAACTATATCCACTTATTATCGAACACTTGTCTCGCTAGATCAATAACGACTAAGTAGTGAGTTCGATCCTCACCGGGTGTCTCATACTTCCGGCCTTATGCGACATCTAAGCTATGTTTAGTAAGGCGATATATCTACTTATTACGACCCATAAACCTAAGGATTTTTAAAATGATCTCCTATGGGTTAAAATGTGTATGTGCGGATAGTATAATGGATAACGAGAGCCGAGTTCGAATTGCAGTCGGGTGAGTTGCATTCACTTACGTGCAGTTACTCTTTGTAAAGGCAGGAATATATCTACCCCTTTCAGCTATGGGTTAAATAGTAGGTCTTGTATGCGGAAAAAGATCGTGGTTATTCTCAAAAACTATTAACGCAATATTCATTTGCAAAATATATATATATATATATATATATATATATATATTCTTACAATCAAAATATGTTTTGGGTTTAAATACCCAGAGAAAACCGCTCGCTGTATTGACTTATTTTGGTACCTCCCCAAGGTAAGAATTCGACAGAAATACCGAACCCCACATAATTATTCGACTTATTAGGCACGGGTGTGTAGGCGTTCGTTAGCAAACTGGACAATTTACACAGGGACGGGAGTATAGACCTTGGCAAACTGGACAATTTACGAGCTGAATTAGAAAATCAATTTACACAAGTCAGAAACTTCTCAGCAATGTCTGCGTTCCATGTATATTAGTTTTTTTTTTTTTATTACTTTAGTTCTCCCGATACAAGCCCGAGTATACTCAAGGTAGAGCATTACTTAATGAGAATGTTGCTATATAATAATTATTATTAAACCCTAACCCTATAACTGGAATAGTTCTTGTTCAGTGACTTTTTGTTTGTTTGTTTTTTTTTTAAAGGACCGCATTTTGACCTGTCTTTTATTCTAAAATTCCCTCGCTTGAAGATAAGGCATAAAAGTATTATTCAAGTATTATCATTATTAATATATTCATTCGCCGAGTATTCATGCTAGTTTTAACTGGTCACATATACCGGAGATTAAGTGACAGCAAGTCTCCACAGTAGTCCAAGACCATGCACAGTATCGTAGTTGCTCTATTACCAGTAATAGGTGTTGTAAAACATGACATTAAAACCTTTCACAAATTGAAAGCTATCTACTAATATACGCTCAGAATTTCTCAGCAGTTTTTGAAATATACAAACTTGCTCGTAATGCATGAAATGAAATTCAGCAGGTTGCTGTGACTACGTTTAAATGCTTATATCTATTAAATTGCGAACACGTCACTGCCTGATATTTTTAGATTGTAAGAATTTTTTTCTTAAGATATTTAAATTTAGTGATACAAATCTTACTAATTAAACCATAGCTTGGGGAGAAGTAGTGGATTCCCACCTTTGTCAAGAGTATTTGCGCCTGTGAATATAACGAACCCAACTGGAATTGGAACTCCGCTTTCCAATTCTGAGCTGTTATCATTACACCGCCCGTACATCCAGATTTTCAGCACTTGGTATTCCCAAGCGGTCAACCATCTATGTACTGACCAGGCTCGATGTTGCTTAACTTCGCTGATCATACGGTAACTGGTGTTTCAATGTGATATGGCTGTAAGTTTGAGAGAATAGGTCTATTATATGTATATTTTAAATACATTGCTAGGTTGCGATAGACTAAGTAAGACTTAATTAATTGAGTTAATATCGTAATGCCATTTTTTTCTTCTTAGATGCGTCAGCTGTGCTCAGTTTGGAATAAAAAAAAACATTAATTTTGGAAAAGATCTCCCGACAGAAGATTGTAAGTAATCTCTCTCTCTATCACTCTCTCTCTCACACACACACACACACACACACATTGGTTTAGAAAAAAATATCAGAGACTAGCGAACAAGTTCAAGGATTAACTTAAATTTACGTCAAACTGTTACAAAAAAAGAAAATGAAAAAAAGACTTCCAATTTTGCCTGTTCCGATTTATTTCTAAATTAATCTTCTTTCTCTGCCTACTCCAGTTTTTTTTTTTTTTTTTTTCACTTTCTTTTTTTTTTAGTTCATAATTCTACATCCGGTTGTGTGGTAACGGTTATTATTAGTGAATTTTTCTATCAGGCTTTAGATAAGAACGGCGAGGCTCGAACTGTGACTTTAAATATCCCGGAGGCGTTTGACAATGTGTAATGTTCTTCACAATCTGAAGGGCTGCATATTTGACTTGATCGAATCGTTCTTAACAAATCATCTAATGAAATCATAATGAATGGCCAGGCTTCTAGATCCTTTTACATTAACGCGGGAGTCTCCTAGGCTCTATCCTTGAACATACATTTTTTCTTATCTTCATTAACGACCTTCCGGATGTCATCAGTTCCCAACACGGTATTTATGCACAACTAGTTAATCCTGTAATCAGTTGATCACACCGCAGGAAAATCTGACATTGACTAAGGCAGATCCAGCTTGTTTCCTTCAATGTTTCCTAGCCCAATATGAGTGTTTTCAACACCACTCCTCACCTGTTCCGAAGAAGTCCACGGTCGTTTCATCTGCAGGGAAGGTGGTGACCTCAGTTTTATGGCATTGTGTTCATTGATTATCTACGAAAGGGCCACTCCATCAATAGAGAGTACTATGCCAAATTTCGGAGGCAGTTACGAAAGGCTATCAAGACCAAACGCTTAGCAAAAAATGAAGAAAGGAGTCTTGTTTCATCAGGATAATAATCCAGCACACAAATTCTTGGTTCCAATGGCTGCTGGGCGTACCTATGGCATTGAGTTAGTTGATTACCTTCCCTATTCTCCTGATTTGGCTTCATCTGATTATCATCTGTTCCCCAACATGCAAAAAACACTTGGCTGGGAACCAGTATCGCAGTATCATATCTTCTGTTGATGAATGTTTGACCAAAAGGATGAAAGCTTCTTCATCAATGTGATCCAAGATCTTCAACACCGATGAATGGTGGCGGACAATTTAGAAAAATAAACCTTATTTGGTCACATTTCATGAGAGTATTTTGGTCAGCCTATGAAATTTTCAGCAGATCCTCGTAATATAGTGATGACTTGTAAATGATTTTACTATAGGATTGCATTTTAAATTATTTTACTATAGGAATGCATTGGAAATGACTTTACTAAAGGAAAGCATTGTAAATGATTTTACTACAGGAATGTATTGTATATGATTTTACTGCAGGAAAGCATTGTAAATTACTTTAATATAGGAATGCATTGTTAATGATTTTTCTATCGAAATGTATGGTAATGATTTTATTATATGAATGTATTGTAAATGATTTTACTATAGAAATGATATTATTATAGGAATACTTTACAAATTATTTTATTATAGGAAGACATTGTAAAGGAGTTTACTATAAGAAACCATTATAAATGATTTTGCTATAGGAATTGTAAACGATTTTACATTAGGTACGCATTTCAAATGATTTTACTATAGGAATGCATTAGAAATGATTTTACTATAAAAATTATTTTATTATAGGAATGCATTGTAAATGATTTTACCATAGCAATGCATTGCAAATGATTTTAACATAAGAATGCATTGGAAATGATTTGACTGTAGAAATGCATTGGAAATTATTTTACTACAGAAATGCATTATAAATAATTTTTCTATAGGAACCCGTTGTAAATTATTTTACTATATGAAAAAAAGTTAAATCACCAGAACGACCCCTCTCTGCCTTCCATCGGCATGGCTGATGCTAAAAAAAAAGTGCTATCCTCCAAAAAATGTTCTCCTTTGGGGTGGAAGGGTCATTGAATCCATCTCAAGATCATCAAATCACTGTTCTTGGAGACAATGTTTCTCTCCGAATCTATTTATTATCTACTACCATTCGTCCATGCTTAGAAAATTTAAATATGGTCCTATGTCCCTCTATTTTCATTGATCCAAAGAAGAATCAATAATATTATTGATCCTGATCTGTGTCATAATGACCACCTTGAAGGTTGCTTCTTGTCTTTTTTGATATAAATATTTTTCATGATGATTGTGTTCACTTTTGTATTTTACCTAGACTTATTTCATTTAAGCAAATATTAGACTGGTCCAGGAGATTTAAGAATTTCAATGTAAACTCTATCTTCATAAAATTTGTAACAAATTTTCTCGCACTTCTCATACGGAACTTCAACTTGAATTTTCCATGCTTATTTCATTTAAGCCAACTTTAATCTGCAAAAATTTAAATGCAATGTCAATCAAATCTACTGTCCTCCTGATTACTCTTTTTTTTTTCTTTCATTATTAATGTTTCTTTTCTAATTTCTTCCACACCCTGTAACCCCTTGTGTTTAGTGGCTTTACTGCCTCCTTGAAAAAAAAATATTTTTTTTTATATGTTTTTAATTTTCTATAATGTTTAAATATTCCGATAATTTAAAATTTTGCATATATAAAAATAAATTATAAAATTTGTTTATATAGTCAAAATATTTTTTATTAATTTGAAAAATTTATCAAAATTAATAAAGAATCAAACAAAATTAAAAATTAAATTTTTATAAAAATATTTTTTATTAATTCATTTTTAAAATTTTTGATTACGGAACGTTACAGGTTTTACTTTCTGTCCTTTTTTCCTCGTTCTACCCTTGTTGAATATGGGCATTTTAAAAATTTTTATTTTAATTTTTCATAAATCAAGATAATAGACGTTTAAAAAAAAAAAAAAGATATAAATATTTTTCAAAAATTATTCCCATATTTTTTTATTCATTTACATTGTATTTCAGCGATATCCAAATAGATGTAATTTTTAAAAAATATTCTAATTTTTTTTTTATGAAATTTGAATTTCCCAATCAAATATCATTTTTAATCTAAAAAATTTTTCTAAAAAAAAATATATTATATATATATATTTTTATATTTAAAAATTTTGGATTTTATCTTTTTTTTTCGAGGGCCCCGCAAATTTTTAATTACAAAATGGAATTAATAATTATAAATGAAAAAATTCATGATAATAAAAAAAAATAAAATTTTAAAATAATTTATGATTTAAATATTTTATATAAAATTTATTTTTTTTAAACAAAAATTAATAAATAAATTTCTTCTGAGAAAAAAAAAATTTTTTATTAAAAAATTCAAAAACTTCAATACATCAAAAAATCTTTTTTAATTTTTTTTTTTATTATGATACATATTTAAGAACTGTCATTTTTTAATTTTAAATTTTTTAAAAAGAAAATTATTTAAAAAATTTTTTTTATATAAATATAATTTAAAACATTACTAAAAATATATAATGTTTCTTTTTCAAAAAAAAATTAAAAAAAATAGCGCTGAAAAAATTTTAATTTCTATTGAATGAAAAACGAAAAAAGGTACATTGGTGAAAAAAAAATAAAACTGGTAAATATTAACTGATTTCTTTTTAAAAAATAGTAAATGAAAATTTATAAAGAACAATCTACCTGAATAAATAAAAAAAAAAATATTCAAAGTTCCATGAAGGTTAATGGTAATTTTAAATACACGATATCGAAAAAAAATTTTTGGTAAAAAAAACCGAATACATTGTAAAAAAAAAACTTTAAATCCATGTGCATTTTTGGTTTTTTTTTTTATTTAATAAATCAACCACAAAGCGATTGAATTGAATTGTTTTTGATTCAAAATTCTAAGAATTCGTGTATTATCCCAATTTTTTCCCAAAAAAAAAACACTAAAAAAATAAAATTCAAGTTATATAAAAGTTATCCAAGATAATCTTTTTTCTAGCTTAAATTTTTATTTTTTTCATTTTTTAAAAATTATCGTTGAACAGTTGAAACATCTTTAAAAGTCTTCATAACATTCATTTTTTTTTTTTTTTTTTGATTGAATTCTTTCATGCAATATCTCATTAAACCACATTTATTTTAATCAGACTGTATATACAAATGTCTAATACTTATTTTACAAATTTTTAAAAAAAAAAAACAAAAATTCCAATAAAAATAAAATTCCTTTTCAGACTTGAAATTTCTCTTTTTTCAGATAATTCTTATATATATTATAAATTCCTTTTAAATTTACTATAGTTTTTGAATTCAATTAATATTTTAATATGCCGAATTTTTTAAAAAATAGTATCATTTAAAATTTTTTTTTTAAGTCAAAAAAAAAAATGCCGTGAGATTTTTTTTTTTTTTTACTTCAAACAAAAAAATAAAAAAACTTAAATGATTCCATCAAATAAACCTTTTAAATATGGACAAAAAAAAATAATCACAAACTGATTAAATTTTTTTTTTTTCTCAATACCAAGTCAATCTGTTTTTTGACCATTTTTAAATAGTTTTGCAAAACAACTGGTTAATGCTATCGGCCTGTTTCATTTAAAAATCTGGTTCAAAATTCCAGTTTCAAATAGAAATTTTCGATAAAAAAAGAAAAAATCTGAATTAAATTGCCAAAAAATTTGTTTTTATTAAAAATATTTTAGCAATTTTTATTAAACGATATTTGTTTAATTGAATTAGGAATTGATAATGAATATCGTCTGGTTTTTTGAATATATAGATGTAAATTTTGGGCTTTATTTAAAGATTCATTCTTCTATCGATTAAAATTTTGAAAAATGTTTT